GGAGATAAGGACACATATGTAATACCTTAATCAATAAAGAAAATTTAAAAGATGAACTATAGAATGAATTGCTGATAATAAAGTTAACTTCGATAAATCTAAAAAATATTGTACTTCCTGAAAATTAGCCTTACACAAATAACACATATTGTATGATTCCATTTATAGGCTGTTCTAGACTAGGCAAAACTATTCTACAGAGGAAGATAAATCAGAACATTAATTATCTTAGAGTGGAGGGTTGATTGGAAAAGGGGCACCAGGGCACTTTCTGCTATGATGGTGTTGCTCTCTATTTGATAGGGGTTTGGGTTACACAGTGGGTGCATTTGTTAAAAACTTTACATTTGAGATTTGTGTATTTCTTTGTAGGTAAATTATACTCAAAAATAAGGAATTTATATATTGAGTGATAATTATTGATATGGGGGCTGAATGTAGTATTTAGGAGTGAAGTATACTGAGGTCTCAATTTATATTGAAATACCTAAAATATGATAGATGGATAGATGGGTAGCTATGTGAGAAAGCAAATATAGTAAAATGTTAATTGAAGAATCTACATGGTGTGTATATTTATGTTCACGTATAATTCTTCCCACTTTTCTGTATGTTTTAAAATTTTTATATAGTGTAATGTTAGAAAAAAGAAATTTTAACCATACAACTTCAGTTTCCTAATTTTGTTATATGATATATGCCTTCAAGAAATGAGTTCGTATATGACCAATATCTTTTTAAATTTTAAATTAATTTTAATAATTAAATTCAGACAAATACAGAGGGTGGTCCTAAAACAAGGAAAGCACAAGGTGGGAACAATGACCGGAATAGGTTGGTCTGGTAGAGATCATAATTTCTGAACCCCAAATTGGGACACATGACTGACAAGCATGAAATTGTATTAATGACAAAGGTAGGATTGAATATTTGACACCAGATTGCCACAGGGATATGTGGTTCGCCGTGGGTGAGTTAATTCACCTCCCTTGAGTTTACTCTCTTAATTCCATGTTAGAAATATTGAAGCTCTTGTTAGTTTTGAAATCTTGCTGTACTTTCCCATGTGTTGGAATATATTTGACAAATGAATCTGCATTGCAGATTCTTATTCTTTTAATGTCAGACAGAAAGTCATGTTGACACGAGTAGTGAGCTTAGAGCCAGACGGTCATGCCCACTAACAGTCAGCCTGCTAGCCTAAGCGGCATCATTCTGGCAGCGTGTGCCCCTCTGCAGTGTCATGCTGACTCAAGCATAGATGGTTAGAGTACAGTACAGACAAGTTAGTCACAAGACGCCACCTTTATGGCTATAAAAATACGCAGGAAGACTTTCCAGATCTGAAGAAAATTTACAACATTCTTTCTTTCCAAAGCTCTATGTACTAGTGTTAGTTTTTCTCACACAAATGTGTGTGCATCTGTAAGTTTTTAGAAGCATATAACTGTTCTTAGGAAAAATATTTTTATCTAATTACTGGAATATGGTAGACCCCAATGGCTCCTGCCAATTTATTTCTCCAGTTTTCCATTATGAGCAAGAATTAAAAGTGGAGAAGTTGCCAGACCCTTTGTGCTCATGACCTAGTCCAGTGATGGCGAACCTTTTGAGCTCGGCGTGTCAGCATTTTGAAAAACCCTAACTTAACTCTGGTGCCGTGTCACATATAGAAATTTTTTGATATTTGCAACCATAGTAAAACAAAGATTTTTATTTTTGATATTTATTTTATATATTTAAATGCCATTTAACAAAGAAAAATCAACCAAAAAAATGAGTTCGTGTGTCACCTCTGACACGCGTGTCATAGGTTCGCCATCACTGACCTAGTCTGTCTTACATGCCACTTTGTCTTCCGGACAAACGTTTTCCACCCAGAAAGACACTTTGCTTCTCTCTCCTTGGACCATGTTCCTGACTTGTACTCATCCCCCTCCTTTAATCTACATAGTGCCCTGGTCTCTGCTCCCTGTTCCAGCATACTGCGTAACTTCTCCTGTCAGCGTTTCCTGGCCACATTACCTGCTGCGGGTCTGTCCCAATGATCTCTACTTCTGGTCCTCACTGGCCCATGGGGCTGCTATTTTTGCTGTAATGGCTCTACAACCAAATAAACCCAGCCATCCTCCTTTGACATCTTATCACACGTTACACCCATCATGTGGCCCAGAATGACCTAAGCAAGGAAAGGAATGCCAGATGAACTCTCTGGAAAAGCAGGCTGTCCAGATTTTCACGTATTCATCATTTCAATTAATTGTGGTTGTACAAATTTTGTAGTAGTTTATCATTATTGTGTGTGTTTGTATATCTTAATACTGTGATTTAAGGCAGCATTGCTAAGTAGGCTGATGAAAAGATAGCTTGATAATAAATTATCATTCTGAAGGATAACATGCTCCATGCGTTTCTCATGAAATTATATGAAATTAGTACATTTAAATCCACATAATGCTGTGAAGGCCTATTTTTATTGATCTAAGTAGATAGGAGAATGACAAATGATTGCTATGATGAAATTCTGGTCTCATTTTGAGGGGATAGAGTATTGTGAAAATCTTTAAAATATAATAACTAATTCTTTATGTCCATAAATTCATTAGTTTTAGACATTGCATCCTTTTATTCCTTTCCACCCTTGCTATCTTTCCTCAAAATTTGATTTTTTTAAAAAATTCTTTATTGTTGAAAGTATTACATATGTCTCCGACCCCACCCCTCACCCCAGACTTTCACCACCTAATTGTCCGTGTCCATGGGTTATGCATATATACATGCAAGGTCTTTGGTTGATTAACTCCACCAAGCCACCCTCCCCCACCTTCCCTCTGAGATTCTGCACTCTGTTCCATGCTTCCATGTCTCTGGATCCTCTCTGTTCATCAGTTTACTCAATTTGTATAGATGTATCCTAGTTACTCTCCTAGAAATGCCATCCAGCCAGCTCATGCTAGCACATTTAAATTTACCTTTCTGAATCATGTTGCCAAGAAAACAATTTAATTTCAGTAAAATCCAGAACATTACACAGATATGTTACTCATTTATGTGAGTATTTAAAATTCAGGCCAAATTGCCATTTAGTACAATTTAAAGACAAAAAAAAAAAAAATCCTGAACAACCTAAAAGGTATAATGCATAGTTTAGCTACACAATTCTTTTTCTTTTTCAGAATAACCACAAAAGCTTTGGATTTGGTGTCATTATGCTCTCAGAAAAAGTCATCTTGGCTTTCAAATATTAATTTTAACTTTCTAAAAGAAAATAGTCACTTTTTGAACATTATAATTCAGTGTTGTCTGTTTGTAAACTCTGAATTTTCTTTACAGAAATAGAGATACTAAATAAAAGTCTGGCGGTGTCCCACAGAAATAAGGTATGCTTAGAAGAGGAAATGAAAAACCTGAAGTTGTTGTCAGATGCAGCCATTCTGAGGTCTCAGCAGATTGAGGCGTCTAAACAACAGGAAGTGAACCTGCAAACCAGATGCCATGACTTACAAAAGGATGTTCTAGGTAAAAGATTTGTGTGTGTGTGTGTGTGTGTGTTAGCAACTGTCCATAATAAATGTCTAAATTTTTATTTCTCTTAAAATCACAATAAAATTATTTTTTTATTATCTTGTGTTGCAAATATGCCTAATTATTAGTAACTATGCCAATGGCTGTCTGTGATCAATGTTCATTCCTTCCTTCCTAGTCTATTTAGAGTGGTAAGGCAAGTGGAGATATTAAAGATGTTTTAAGACTTCAGGAAAACAAAGTGAATTTACTTTAGTGTGTCATTATCCCAGTGGATCGGTGGCTTAGCGCACTGAAGGAAAATACAACATATGCTGTTTACAAAGTGAATCCAAGTTTTCAGGCACTCCATTTTCCCAAAGGAAAAGATTAAAATTGTGTTTTGGGCACCTTGTTTCTCTCTACCTCAGAGGAATGGATGTCTTGGCAGTAAGGCTATGGAGCATGCATCTTTTCCTGAAGGCAGTGTAGAATCACTGAGAATGGATAATCATGAGAATGATATGATAAAAGCAGTGGTTTAGCAAAACTAAGCTATTAGCAATGAATGGAGGTGTTCCACATATCAAGTGATTGGAGCCAGATAATTAAAATGTCTTTATTGGTTGTTAGCCTCTAGACCAGTGATGGCGAACCTTTGAGCTTGGCGTGTCAGCATTTTGAAAAACCCTAACTTAACTCTGGTGCAGTGTCACATATAGAAATTTTTTGATATTTGCAACCATAGTAAAAAAAAGATTTATATTTTTGATATTTATTTTATATATTTAAATGCCATTTAACAAAGAAAAATCAACCAAAAAATGAGTTCGCGTGTCACCTCTGACACGCGTGTCATAGGTTCGCCATCATGGCTCTAGACTAACCATAAGAACATTTTTAAAGACCTAACGTGTACTAGTCACCATGCTAGCACTGTATATAAGATAATTCTGTCAATTCTCACAGTGACCATGGAAAGCCAGTATAAGTATTATGTCTTACAGAAGAGAGAATCAAGGCCAGAAAGGTAACATGACTGTCCGTCCCCTCAACCCCCCAGCTTGTATATGGCAGGGAGTGAAAGCAAACCAACACCTATGCTCATCTCCTTGGCCCTTGTTATGTTGAGGTGCATTCTCTTAACAACAACTTTGATGAGAATTTTTTTATCATAAATGGATTTGCATTGTGTCAAGCGCTTTTTTTTGCATTTATGGAGATGATCATATAATTTTTATTTTTCATTTTATTAATGTGGTAGGGCACATTGGTTGATTTAGGGATGTTGAACCATCCTTGTATCCTGGAACAAATCCCTGTTTGCTGGTATTTTATTGAGGATTTTTCTATCTGTGTTCATCAGTGATATTGGCCCATTCTTTTCTTTTCTTGTAGTATCCTTATCTGGTTGGTATCAGAGTAATGGTGGCCTAGTAAAATGAGTTTGGAGAAATATAATCTTTATACCCTGAAACTTTAAACTTATGTTTAATACTATATTATCATTGTGTTTTCTTATAAATACATTTTTAAAGTTGTTCTAATATTTTATATACCATTTTAATTTATATTTTATTCCCATACCTGTTATTTTTAGAATAAATATCTTTCTCTATTTTAAGCTATATAAGTATACCTCTTTTATGTCTTCCAGCCTCTGCCCCCAATAATGTGGTACTAATTGAAAGCTTTCTAGGCCAAGAATTAGAAGGTGATGACCCTACATACATTAGCCAGATGATTCTGACATGCTACTTAGCCCTGATGAGTAATGTGTTCACACCTAGGCAACTGATTTGTTGGACTATAATACACTGTGTTTATAGTCTTTGGAGACCCCTTTAGGCTTTAGTACACTGTAATTCTGATTCCAATTCTGATATAATTGTTTCATTTCCAAAGTTAAATAAATGTTCTTTTTTTTTTCATTTTAAATCAACCTTGAACAATTTCAACTTTGATTCAGGTATATGGTCTTTATGATCATTAATTTTCTATATAAAATACTTTTAATTTGGTTTTCCCCACACTTTCTCTTTATTTATTCTTTGAAATATAGACACTTAAAAATTTAAATACAAGTGATAACCCTGGTGCATATGGTTTAATACTAGTTTAGGAGTGAATAATAGACTGTCGATAGCAGTCTGACTCTTAATGCCAAGATTTAATCCTTTTTCATAGGAAAATAAACATGAAATAAAAATTTAAAGACTAAATTTACTTTTAAAGGTTTATTTACATAAGTTTTGTAATTTTATGTTTAGGTCACACTAATATAACCTCCAAAATGCACAATTTATCTCAGTTGACAATATTCCGCTCAGAGGTCACTGTGACCCACAAATCAGTCCACTTAAATGGTTTCCTTCCACCTCATAGAATAAAGTGTCCTTTACTTTTGTCAGCAGTCACAAATATTGGAAGACAGAATTCAGATAAATTACTTCAGCATTAATTTTTGTCCAGAAACTTATTTGACCAACTTTCAAATTTGTTCCAAGTGAAAGAAACTTCAATGTTTTTTTCCCCCAGTATGCTCTTTGGTATAATAAGTCATATGCAGATATTTTAATGACATTATTTTGCCTATAATATTTTTTCATCTTTATTGAATTTTAAAAAATAGCTTTCATGAGAAATAATTTAAATATCATAAAATTCGCCCATTTTAAGTATATAATTCAGTGATTTTAGTATATTTATAGTTATATAATCATCACCACAATGTAATTTTAGAGCATTTCTGTCACCTAAGAACAGAACTCACTGTCATTAACAATGACTCTGTTATTTATCTGCCCCCTGCCACCCAATCATTAATCTACTTTCTGTGTCTATAGATTTACAGTCTGGACATTTCATATAATAAGAACCATGTAATATGTGTTCTTCTGTGCCTGGCTTCTTTGACTTAGTATAAAGTTTCTGAGATTCATCCATGTTTTGCATGTATGAGTACTATATTCCTTAGTTAATAGCTTCTTTATTTAAATGAAAAATATCAGAATGAGTAATGTTCAGTAGGAAAAAATACTGATCTAGGAGTCAAAGACTTCTGCTTTCTAGCCCTGTTTATACCTTTTATAGCCCATTTGGACAAGTTATTAATTTCTTTGACTCAGTTACATAATTGGTAATGGAAATATGGTAGCTTTCCCTACCTACCTTAGAGCAATAGGAGAATTAACAAGACAAAATATAGGAACCACTAAATAAGTATACAAATATCATACTGCATATTCCTGGTGTAATAGCAAACTAAATTATTATAATTAGGATCAAAGTTTTAGAATTTCCTTAAATGCTCCTGTAATAACAAAGGAAAACCATACATTTTATTATTTTTTTAAATTTTATTGATTTCAGAAAGGAAGGGAGAGGGAGAGAGGGAGAGATAGAGAGAGAGAGAGAGATTGATTGGCTGCCTTCTGCACTTTCCCGACTGGGGATCCAGCCTGCAACCTGGGCATGTGATCTGACCTAGAATGTAATTGTGACCTCCTGGTTCATAGTTGATAGGTCTACGCTTAACCACGGAGCCACGCCAGCCAGGCAAAAACCATACATTTTAATTCCTGTTTACCCAAAGGTTCAATTGTTTCCCCTAATGTATCTTTCGGTCAGCCTTGGTTAGCTGTAACAGTCAGTAGTCTGTCTGCTCTTAGAACAGGTTGTTGGAAAGGAGTGGCTATGATTAATTGGCATCACCTATGGAGTGGTGGATAAAGGCATCTATGAACAGAATTCCACTGTGACCTTTCCTGGCAGGCGTGAAGTTTCAGAGGGAGCTCACTGTGGTGAAATTGGCCGGTTTTTATGATTCCTCTCAACCCTTGGGCTCCAGTAGGAATAGTGTAACTTGGGCTTCCAATAAAAGGGGAGAAGTGCTGATGTTACAAACAGAAAACCAAGGCGGTTTGTACTGATCCTTAGTTACACGAAATCAGCAGCCCTTGAAAGAGACCAGCTTGATATTGGGACACTGTGGGCTGCTTCTGTACCCCAAAGCAAGGGGACACAAAAAAATGCACGGTTCTCCTAAGGTTAGTAGACAAGTGGCAAGACAGATAGTCCTGACTGGAACCCAGAGAATTCATTATAGGACCAGGCCACCATTAGAATATGGGATCTAATGCAGGGGTCTCTGGTAGGAAGCCGCTTGGTCTTTGGTCAGTGGAATCTTATAAAATTATCTTCTTTTCCTTTTTTATTTGCTCCCAACTTTAAGTTTTCATATGAAGTTACTTCTATTGTTGTATTATCTTCACTTTACAAATGTTTGAATCTTAGAGGAATTTTCTACAGTGATCTTGAGTGCACACAACTCAGGATGGATGTCTCACCTGTGATCCTCCTCTCCCTCCTTTAGGGCGGCTGTAATTCGGGTGTATTCTCTACTCATTTCTCACCCATGCCATTGCCACCTCTCCTCCCCTTGTTTTCCCCTCCAGCATGGTTTTCCTCTCAAGGCTAGATGGAAGCCTTGCCGCTCTCTCTGCCGTTTCTTTGCACCATCCCCTTCAGGATCTTGGGGTAAGTGTTAGGCTTCACCTTTTCTCTTCTTTTTCTTGAAAAGCCCTATGGACTTATTTGCTCTTTCATTCTTGCTCCCATTCTGTACATGTGGCGTGATATAACCTCACTCCCCTTCCCCACCCCCTTAACATAAGTTTTCTTCTGCCCATTTAGTCACCAATCACCTATTTTGTTCATTCAGCAATATTATTAGGCACCTATCATATGATGAAGTGTAAGCTTGAGCAGGAACAAGCCATCAATAGATTATGAAGTAGGATATAAGATGGGTGTAGGTATGTTAACATGGTTCAGTGTTAAGCTACTTTATATGATTCATTTGTTTTCTATTACAAAAAGAAAAAGCCATGCTTACTATTGGTTAGGAAATTCCAACATTCACATAGTTATAGACATTTGCTGTGTATCCTCCAAGACTTTCAGTTTTGAATATATCTATATCTATATCTATATCTATCTATATATCTATATCT